AGAGAGATGCTGTAAAACTGAAATGACTTAATCCATGTAGAAGGCTTATTACCATCACCTGTAACCATTCAATACATGGCAGCTCTTATTTTTGCTCTCTGCTAATGTAGTTCCCTGGTGGCTCAGATGGTAGAGAATCTTCCTGCAATGTAAGATACTCAGGTTCGATCCCTGCGTTGGTAAGATCCTGACCACTTGGAAGTGGCTACGCACTCCAGTATTCTCGCCTGAAGAATATCATAGACAGAGTACCCTGGCAGGCTACAGTTCATGGGATCACAAAGAGTTGGACACAACTGAGCAACAACAACCACCACCTAGTTTCCAGGTTTTGTTTCATTTTTCGCTTCCCCAAATACTTAACACCATGAGCATTGGGATTTGATAGAGTGAAGCTTCACACTCTGGCTTTAAAAAAACAGAAGATCTTGAGTATCAGTGAGTGTTTTCTGCAGAAACAACAGTAAAAAAACTGAGTTTGAGTTGCTTCACTAAGCAGGGATTAAAACTAATAATAACAACAGAATTCTTTGGAGGTGAATGCCTCCTGATGTGTGTTCAGCCTCTGTGTTGTCAGAGCTGGCCCTCTGCCCTTCTTCAATTTTTCCTTGTGCCCTTCCCCAGTCATAACAGGAACAAAAGATAGCAAGGTTGATGCCCACCGTATGTATTCCTTCTATCGGGAAAGTAAAAGCTTTCTCAGAAACATCTGTTTATGACTCATTTGCCATCGATGGGTGTTATGTGGCCATTCCCGCCTGGGAAGAAGTAAACTCAGTCTGTGACTTTTCATCAGCATTTGTGGTTGTCATCAGCATTTGTCACACCGAGCTTAAAAGTACAATCTGAGTTATAAAGCAGTGGTCAGTGTACTGAGATTCCAAGTTAATTTACCTTGAAGTCTAAAATACCCATGCGGTCTTCCATATGATCATTTATTAAAGTAAGTCATCCCCACGCCACCCCCCTCCCCCGCCAACTCGCCTCCAGGCCTAGGATTTGTCAGTTCAGTTCAGTCACTCAGTCGTGTCTGACTCCTTGTGGACCCCATAGACTGCAGGACGCCAGCCCTCCCTGTCCATCACCAACTCCCGGAGTTTACTCAAACTCATGTCCATTGAGTCGGTGATGCCATCCAACCATCTCATCCTCTGCCATCCCCTTCTCCTTCTGCCTTCAATCTTTCCCAGCATCTGGGTCTTTTCCAATGAGTCAGTTCTTCACATCAGGTGGCCAAAGTATTGGAGTTTCAGCTTCAGCATCAGTCCTTCCAGTGAATATTCAGGACTGATTTCCTTTAGGATGGACTGGTTGGATCTCCTTGCAGACCAAGGGCCTCTCAAGAGTCTTCTCCAACAACACAGTTCAAAAGCATCAATTCTTCAGATTTGTCAGTAATGTGTGTTTAATGTTATTTACATGTAGTTGATTTATGCTGTTGTGTTTATTTCTGCTGTATAGCAAAGTGTTTCAGTTTAACATATACACACACACACACACACACACACACACACAGAGGTTTTTTTTTTATATTCTTTTCTATTATTTCATGTTCTTTTCTATTACGGTTGTCAGCAGCTTCTAGGTCCCAGCTTGGAACTTCTATTGGTGACTTCCTAGTCCAGTGGGTTAAGAAAGGGTTGTCTACCAGGGGAGTAGCCTTCACTTTATGAGGGGAACATCTGAAGGGCAGGGTCCTGCTACACCAGGAGTTCAAGCCTGAGCCCAGAGAAGGGTCCTCGGGGAGCGGGGGAAGCCGGAGATAATCAGTGTGAGAGAAGCACCACCCCCAACACTTCACTATGCATGCAAAGCAAACCAGCGGAGAAAAAGGAAAATATGTAACTCTTCCCTGTGCCTGCTAAGTAACTTCAGTCTGTCGGACACTTTGTGACCGTTCTCTGGGCAAGAATACTGGAGTGGGTTGCCATGCCCGTCTCCAGGGGATCTTCCTGACCCAGGAATTGAACCTGCAGTCTCTTAAGTTTTCTGTATTCCCAGGCAGGGTGTTTTTGTTTGTTTTTTAACCACTAGCACCCTTCCATTTTCACTTACTTCCTTTCTTTGTCAGAAGGTTGCAAAGAAATGGTAATATGTATACAAATGTATATCTATAATGTCTTACCTTTCCACTCTCAGGGGCATAAATTGACTTCTGTTGTTGTTGCTTTTTGTTTTCCTGGAACCTGGCCTTTTCCCTAAATATACGTGATATTTGTGTGGCTTCAATAATAGTTAAGATAGAATGTTACATTCAGCCTTTTTTTCCTCCTCTGAATATTGAGATGGATTCTTTTAATTTTTTCCTTTTTTTAAATATTGAAGTTTAGTTAGTGTTGTGTTAGTTTCAAGTGTACAACAAAGTGATTCAGTTATACATGTGTGTGTGTGTGTGTGTGTGTGTGTGTGTACATATACATATTATTACCCTGTACCGAGATTCTTGGCCATTCTAGGTTAGTTGTTAAAAGGTATTGAATAGTTCCCTGTGCTGTTCTATAGGTTCTTATTGTTTACCTGTTTTTTATATAATAGTGTATATCCATTATTCCTAAACTCCTAGTTTATATCCTGCCATATCCCCTTTGATAAACATAACTTCGTTACCTCTGTCTGTGAGTCTATTTCTATTTTATAATTAAGATTGATTGATTCTTTATGGACATCCTTGGAACTACCAGGACACTTAGACCAGACTTTCCCATTCCACTCTTCTACTCTCTGAACACTGAACTATTTTATCAAAAGGGGCTTTATTAAAATAGCAGGAAGGTATCCTAATTGCATTCAGATCCCTGTGTTTTGGGACTCAGATGGTTAAAGCTTGATTTATCTTATATTCCAGTCATTTTACTTAGGCTGGTTTGCTATTGTCTGTTTACTTAGAAACTTTCCTGTGACCACCTACTCCATTTCAGTAGTTTTCTCTCACGTTTATGCATTGTTATTAGTACTAATTAAACAACAACACGTAATGTACACCTATGTTCACTTGCGCTACCCCTTTGGGGCTCTGGATTTGTTCTTTATTGGGTGACCCTTTTCTATAACAGTGAATTACTTTGGACAAAACTCAAACCCCTGATGGGAGCTGTTTGATGCCCATATAAAATCTTTTAATACCTTTGTCATTTCCTCGAATGCATGGATTTACAGAAGCCTGAGGAGACTTGGTATGTATTGAAGATGGAAATTGCCTTGAGCAGTCAGTAACGAAATGAATTAATATGTGACATATTTTGTGAAGCCCACTGTAAATATAATTTAAAACATTAAAAAAAAAAAACACTTCTCAGATTCTCTCCTGAAACCCTTCTTTTTCCATGTGATATACATATTTTATTTTTTGAAGGAGTTTATCAAACTTTTATGACTTAAACTATTTACTCTCTCATTATTTGGAATATTGGCTTTAGTGATGGTTTTTTCGTCTTGTGAGTTAACTTTTCTATTAACATGAGTTAACTTTTCTATTACAAATGTATTTGAAAACATAAATCTCAAGCTCTTTAATATGTGAGCCCCCCACCACCTTGATTTGATACATATAATGAAAAAAGTTTGGAGAATCAAGCCGTTGTGTTTATTTCAGTGGCGTAGTGCTTATGTATTCCTGTTGGTGAACAGTCTTTCCCACAACTCAATGTCTTTTATTTTTTCTTTACACAGACACAAAATTATAGGCAGTCATTCCTCCTATGTCCTTTTGTCATTGATGATTCCCCCTACAGACTCTTTAAAAGGACATTCCACCTAATATTGTGAGTTTTGTTTACCCTTGACAGTGCTTAGTCATTTAGCTTAATGATTTCAGTGTATACAAATGTCTGTGTGTGTTCAGAATTACAATGATGACACCCAAAAAGCCAGGTTAGGACACAAACACCTCCTGGTCTCTGGACTCTCTTCTGATGACCTGGATTTTGTTCTGCTGGTTTCATGAGGTCCCTTTTTCCAGCTAGTCATAAAGACTGGTTTGCTTTGAATGGGAAAAGCCCTCTCTTGGTGTTGATCTTGGTGTTGAAGATCAGTACCAGTACTTGGTATTTGCTTGCTCTGTTCTTTCTCCGGAATACCGTGGGAAGGCACAAAATAGGGTTCTTCTTGGTCATGCTCCACATTGCTCAGTGGTTACATGTTTCTTCCCCTGACTGTGTGCCCATTTCCTGGGGCTCAAGTCCTTGCTAAACAGAGTAAACCAGCAATGGAACAAAGTCTTGGCTCCTGCTTTTTCCTTTCCATATTATTTCTCTCCACTCATCACTTCCCTATACTTGGGGAGACATATTTATTTCTTCACTTTGAGCAATTGTTACTGTAAGTCTTAAACTATAGCTTGTTAGGGATTTGTTTTGGTTCCTAGCCGCCGAAATGAAGTCATCTTTGGGCAGAAATGTTGGGGCAGGGAATGATGGTTTAAAACAAGCAGAAGAAGTGCACATTCCCTTTAGAAGGTTTGGTAAGTTTGGAAAAGAAACTATATCCGAGGTTGAACACCAGTCTCCAAGGTTCATAGGTAAAGAAAGTGGACAGTTGCCAATCCTTTGGACATGTCTTATGACCGGCCTTTCTCCACCAGCATCACCATTATTCATACTCATGTATGGGAGAACCAGATCTATTCCCTCCATTATTTCAGCATTTTGAGGCAGCTGGGGGCCCTCATTGAATACTTCGAGGTAACCATTCACCGGCTGGATCTCAGCCACAGATATCTCTCTCAGTTCTCTCAACAAAAATATAAAGATTAACAGCTGTAGTCTGAGGAGCTCTCCTATTCATTACCTTCACTTGTCCAATAATCCTGGATGTGTGTTGGGCTAAAGGTACCCTGTCACGCTAATTCAGTCTCTAGACACTGCATCTGCACAGGCCTTACAGGCCTGCTGGTTAGGATTCAGAGTTTTCCAGTACAGATTCTTATAGCTGGTTGTGGTTTTGGCCCTGATGCAGGTGCTGCCAGTGTAGACTGTGTTCTAACACCTCCTTCCATTTCGCAGGAACCGACAATGGTGAAGTCCTCCCTGATTCCATCCCATCAGCTCCTGGGACGCTGCCTCATTTCATAGAGGAGCCAGATGATGCTTATATCATCAAGAGCAACCCCATTGCACTGAGGTGCAAAGCAAGGCCAGCCATGCAGATATTCTTCAAATGCAATGGCGAGTGGGTCCATCAGAATGAGCATGTCTCTGAGGAGAGTCTGGACGAGAGTTCAGGTAAGAATGGGAAGTAATCGGAAGAATCTATGGTAGCTTCTCAGATTTTCAGGTCAATATGACTGGGGAAACCTGTGTTCAGTCACACACCTTATTTGAGTGAAGTCATATTAACAGTATCTCAGGAATAGAAGAGGGAGTCATGTCTTGAAATGACTCCACAGCTCTCCCGCTAGTCTACTCCAATATGGTAGAGGAGCATTTTTTATTTTCCTGCTCTATATCACGTTAAGACCTAATTTTGTATAAAAGTTAATATTCTCCCTGGCAATAAAATCAGGCAGTCCCTGTTTTCATTTTCTGAATTCTGAATATTTTTTCATGACATAAATCTTTCAAGAAGCACCCTTTTAAGCAGCCTAAATTCAGTTGCTGTAATCTTTCTTCCTGGATATTATTCTTGTATGCTTCATTCTCCACAGCTGATGGTTTCTGAGTCGTCTGAGTTCTTTTGATTACTGTGTAATGATAAAGAAGTTCAAATTAGAAGACCAGATTTGAATAGGATCTCCTGTATAAAAGAATTTCAGGACCATCTTTATTAGCTGGCTAATTTGGCTGATAAGGGGTGATGATGAGAATAGTGACCATATTAGCTAATATTTGTTGAGCACTTACTATATAACCAGACCTTATCTAAGCTTCTGATACACATTATCCTACTGTCTTTTCAACAGCCCTCTGGGATAAATAATGCTGTCATTGCCTTCTTATAAATAAGGAAACAGAGCCTCAAAGAGGTTAAGTAAACTGTGGGCTTGTGCTGGATATCTCAATAAGATTATTTGACTCAAAACTTTCAAAATGTATTACTTTTATATTTTAGCATATAATAGAAACAGTATATGCTTTTCAACTTTGGCTCCTCAGACTAACAGAAAATTTAGCCTCATCCTAAATCCAATTTGATGTTACTCTATATTATTGATTTTTATTAGTTCTAAACTTACTAGATGTCAGATTTTGAATAAATAAAGTCATGAATAATTAGGAAGTTGTGTCAGCTTAATTTATTAATTAATATACCAGTGCTGTTTAGTACATTAGGCTAAGTCTTTCAAAGTATTTCAGGAAAGGGAGGAGGCAAACTCTGATCTAGACCTTCATACCTGCTAATAAGTTTATGACCAGTATAAGTGCAAATGAAGTTACGATAAATGTCTAAAGAGAGGTAGATGGTGCTAGGGAGGATTTAAAAAAAATCATGTCTAACCGGGACTCTCAGGAAAGGTGTGGAAGCAACAGCATTTGAAAGGAGCATTGAATATGTGATTCAATTAAGCATAATTGATGATACACTCTATTGAAGAGAGACAGGTCTCAGTGGTCAACATTAGCAAATGAAAGAAAGCTGAGTGTGTGTTCTCCTTAGCCTGGTTTGGTTGAAATATAAAATTGATACAGGAGATAGCAGTTGATAGCTGGAAAACAGCTCAATCAGTGGCATGAGAGACCTCAAATATCAGAGCAAGATGTCCTTTACTCAATTTTATGGATATTTTTTGTTAATGGTAGGGATTGATTATATTGACATATGGGAATCCAATGGCTTTGAAACTATACTTCAGAAGATGAATATGGAGCAAGTCTTCGGGATGGTAAGGAGAAGCAGGAATGGAGAAGTTAAGAGACTTGAGTAATTCAGCTGAGAAAGTAAGATCTGCTTCTTGAGGAATGGCCACAGAAATAGGAATAGATAGCTGATGTGAGAAGCAGTGTCACAAATCAGACTTAATAGCTGAATGATTTGAATGAATGGAGAAATAAAAACAAATCCCTTAACAGAAGGAAAAGGGTTATGCAATTAATATTAGTAATCACATTAGCAAGGAGAAAAGTCTGAGATCATTGTTTGAACAAACTACCCTTGAAATACTTACGGGAGAATGAAGAGATGTAGATCTGGAACTAAGGTAATCATCAGGAAAGAGTGAAGCCATGGAGATGGAGGAGTTGTCAAGAAAGAATGGGCAATGTGACAAGAAAATGGAACTAGAGATACAGACACACCTCCTTAGGAGTCAGGAAGAGGAACCTTAGCATCCAACAAAGAAGCAAGCAGGGTATGCTGTATTCCAAAGCAAGGGAGGAAAATTATTTCATAAAGATCTTCAGATATTACTCTGTCTCTGCCTAGGAACAATGAAGGAGGCAAAGAACTGAACATATATATCAACAGTGCTAACGATTATGCAGTTTTGAGCTAATCTGGGTTTGTAGCTTAAATGCATCCAAAGGTAGAGAATCACAATTCCCTAATCATTCCACTTTGGAATTAGAATGGGGAAGAAAGCAGAAGTGCTTGTTTTAGATATACTATTCTTCAGACCAAAAGCATGCTTAGAATTCCAGTTTCTAAATGTGAGAATGGGAAGGGATCTCAGTGGTAAACATAACAGCTCTGTTTTGTTTATTAAAATAAAAGGTTCCAAGAAATACAAGTAGTTCATGGCATAGCTATTGCTAGAACCCAGATCTCCTGATCTTCACTGTGGATATATTTCCTTGATACTATAAAGGACCATACAGATTCCTATGGTCTCCTTCCCAATCAAAATATTGAAAAATTTCTTTACTGACATCAGGATGGGTTTCATCACCTGTCTTAGCATTTTCTATCGTCAACCTGTTTAATGTTTAATTTCTCAAGTATATCCTTATCACTACTCCGTTGGAGTTTGTCTGTCCCTTATCATCTCGCCAAGGGCTAATCCCTTATTCTATGTTGTGTTTATAGCACTGATAGAAGTTTGTAACAATTAATGGTATAGAGACATTTCCAGGATTCCAGCGATAGTTTCCTTCCTTAAAGAAGGGTTTGGCAAAAATCAAAACCAATGAAGAGAACAAACTGAATCTTTGTTTTGGGAAAGTTTTTGCTTCTGTGTTACAAATATTGGGATCATGGAAAGACCTAGGTGAATAGATTTGGTGTTGAGAGAATTTGAGTCACAAACAGTAGCAATCTCGTTTACCTTTGCATGAAGACTTTCAAGAAAACTCTTGATATTTGGGTAGAGAGCAACAAAGGGGACAGCATTATCCACAGGACAAAAGCCTATAGAACAATGTGAAATATGAAAGGTATATGTCTCTTAAACTCAGCTAGCCTAACTGGAGAGGAACTCAGATACTAGTGGCTCCATAGGGTTGTGTATTTTTTCCTCAGACATTTCTGTCCTAGATTTTGCCCAGTAATGAACTGAAAACAGCAGAAAACCTTTGGGTAAACTGCTGCAAATAAAAGATAGGAAGAACATTGAAAAATGGTCAGCTATTTTTTTATACTACTGCTAGAAAATCCTATATCCATTCTCATTTAAAGACCTCTTGATAAATATTGCAAGCCCATTTAACACTCTACCCTCTTGTAATTTCACAACATTCAGTTTTGTTATTGCTTCCTCCTTTTAATTCCTTTCTCATTGCTAGGCAACTCCATGTCTTGAAGACAGCCGTGATGATTACATTCTCTGCCTCCATCTAAAAGTCTCCACCTTTGCTTCCTTTAAAAAACATAAAAATAAAAAAGACCATTAGAAGTCACAAATTTCAAAGGAACTGGGAAGAACAAAAAAAAATCATAAATGACAAAATCTGAAGAGATTATACACTGATTTTAAAAAACAAGCTGTTGAGAAAGAACTTAAATTTTAACAACTACCTTTTGAAAAGAATTTAATAAGCACAACCTTTTCTTCCAAGTTATTTTGATTGAATCAATAGAAAAGAAATGTCTCTCCCTAAAACTGTTTTTTCTTCTGTGTACTTAATGAAAATCCCTGTCTACCACACACTGCAATTATGTTTCCTAAGTTCTGTATTCATAGTGGAAAAGTAGACACTGACGCAAGATGAGTGGCGATATTAGACCCCAAACTAATGCATAAGTGCAATTAAGGTTGGAAACAAAATGGCCTCAGGTATTGAAAAACAGATGCATTACCTCCCCTGGGTTTCTTCATTGTGGAGCTGGAGAACAGGAATTGGCTATCTTACAGCCTTAATGGCTTTTGATGGGGTCTGAAAAATAGTTCCTGTGAAGTCCAGGGGGAGTGAATGACACCAGGAGACCCAGAACATTGGGACCGCATTTGACCAGGGGTAGAGAATTATCTGTGCTGTTAAGAAGTTGAAAAGTATCTGCTTCAGTATCTTTGGCCCACACAGTCTCCATTTTTAAATCCCAGAGAACTTTGGTATCTTTTTTACTTACAGGTTTTCTTTCTTCACCAAACTAATGGGAAATGCATAGGACCTGGGAGTGTTGGGAGTCAACACAGGATCTTTTGTATTTCCAAATTGGAAGCAATAAGTCCTTTCAGTTGTTAAAGGCTGCAAACTGCCTTTGGTCTTTTCTGGTAATTTGGCCCCGTCATCTAACAGTTCAAATAAGAAGAAAAGGGATTGTGTGTTTTCATGCAATTTAGCTTGGAAAACCCAGAGCAAGAGTTCTTTCCTGCAGAAAGCACAATTTATTTGACATGAGTTACTGTGTTTGCACAGACATGGCTATACCTCTTAGTAATGTACACTTTTAGTTCTCTGCACAAGCCAAGCGATCCTCTTTCATTTGTTCTGCCTCATTTCATTTGGAAATATGGGAAGTCTTCTTCCTTGTATTTTTCTTCAGTTAACATCTGGAGTTGAGAGGCAATCCCAATTCAGGCATCATGCCCCTGAGAAAAGGGTGGGTTGTTCCAGTAACCCAGAAATTAAGAGTTTTAATATAATAAGCAAGTACGTGCGCACACACACACATACACAGAGAGAAAACCAACAATAACCAGGAAAACTCATTCTTGGCAATCAGGATAATGTAGCCTATGGGAAGTTTGGGCTATCAATAAGCTTAGCTACTTCTTTATTGTTCAATAATAATGGAGTTCCCTTAACAAGCCTCCCTGGTTCTTATTCTGCCTTGGAGATATTGAACTGTAATGAGTGAAATAATGTGTATTTCAATGCATTATGGAAAAAGTCTCAACTCCAGTAAACTA